ATTTTATATTTGAGTTCTGGGGCGAACATTTTTCCATTGTCATAACTTAACTACTTTTATCAATAATAATTCTGCATACAATAGATATCTATAAGTACTAATATCTACAAAAATTTATTATTTAAGTTCTTATTAAAATTGCTATTTATCTATGATTTCAATAAAGACTCCTAGATCACTTGCAGAGACATCATTTTATTTACCCCATATAACACAAAAATGTAGTTCTGAAAAGACCATGAATTCTGTACTTATCATCTTTAATGTTAGTATATTGATGTGCATAATTAACCACAAAGAATTCAAATGTTTTGAATATTCCACCTGAGAGTATTACTGCTGCCACCGTCAGTATCAGAGGGAATAAAATGGTAGGGGTGGCCACAGGGGTGGCCGATGATTGGCTAATGGTGGGGCTGGCCCCATCTAGTTTCGCCCCTGCTCACAGTTACCAACTAATGGATCACATTTACTGAAGTCTCAGAGTTAACAATGGCATACACAGATTAAGACTGGAATTAACATTTTATTAAGCTTATAAAACATATTCTTGGTTAAAAAAAAATTATTATTATTATTATTATTCTAAGTTCTCATTAAAAAAAATTAAGTTGTAGAAATGGATTTTATGTTCTTTCAGCATGCATTTTTTTTCTACCATTAATTCAAATGTGATTAAATAACTCTTATTTTGTTTTTCAAATTGACACTTTCTTTATTTTCGTATTCATATTCACTACCTGTGCATAATTTGAACAAACATCTCCCTTTTTCTCATCGAGGCAGCAGCTATCGACTGATCGAGTCTGCCCAGATCCAGCGCGCATGCGCAGTAGAGCGTTCAATAAAGATGCCGATGTGGCCAAAACAAGACCCTAACCTTCTAATCTCTCCTTTTTAATCAGGTATTCAAAATGAAAGCGTTTATTCTGGCTGTGGTTTTTGCGTGTGGCTTTGCTGCAGGGAGTGAAGACGAGAGGCTGCCTAATAAATGTGAAGGTATGAAGAGAGAGAGAGAGAGAAAAAAAAACTGGTGTAAAACTGGGGCTGTGAAGATAGTTAATTTTTATAATGCATGTAAAAAGTTATCTTTAGAGTTATTAAGGGAGTTGACAGAAAATTTAAAGGAGAATATTATATGTTGTGGAGATTTAAATGCACATAGCACTTTATGGGGAAGTCAAAATGATAGTAATGGAGAAGTAATAGAAGAAATGATTGATATAAACAATCTAATATGTTTAAATGATGGAAAGGGTACACTAATAAATATTAGGAAAATGAAACAATAGGAAGGGATCATTATGATACAGTGATAGAATTAGGATTGAATATGGAAGAGAAAAATTTAGAATGATTACTGAAAGACATTTAAAGACAATTAATATTCATCAAAATATAAAGGGTCAGCTAAAGAAGCTGCTAAACAGTCAATTAATCTGAAAGAAGGGAAACATAAAAAGAAAATTGTACCATGGTGGATAGAAGCATGTGGAAATTTGATTAAACTTCGAAATAAAGCATTTAAAGTATGAAAAAGAACTCATAATATACAACATCTTATTGGATATAAAAGGCAGCAGGCAATGGTGAGAAAAACAATTAAAGATGCAAGGAAGATATATTGTTTTTTTGTTTTAACTGATCAAGGTAAAAACTTTACAATGCATGGTTTTGAACTTGTCATTTGCTTAATTATTCCAAGCTCAGAAAGCGGCAGAGTGACATAAGCCTAAAGACAAACTAGTAGTTATGAGGATGAATATGATTATGCATTTCATTATGTTGGGTTAAAACATACAGCTTAGAAAACTATATATTTTTTTTTTAGGGTTGAGTCTTGTTTCCTCATTTAACTCCTTATCATTTTGTGGCGGTAATGCACTTTAACTAGTTTGCCAACCACCATAAAAGCTTACAATAAGAAGAAGAGGAAAAAAAGAAAACAGCTGAGCACTGATTGATTGCAGCAGATCTGCAATCTGTAAAAGTGTCCATTTCATGAGTCTCTAATCAGTATCTAAAGGATTTTAACTTGTCTCTGTGTGTCAGTGTGTAAAATTCTGACCACGGAGCTGCAGGAGGCTCTGGAGAAAACGGGTCGCTCCAAAGAGGTGCTGGAGGTGGGAGAGGTGTTGGACACGGGCAAGAGGAGGAGGAAGATTAGATACAACACCTCGTAAGTCTGGGCTGTCTCTTATGTTTTTATCTTTTTCATGTTTAACCAATGTCAGGATGGAAAAGGAAGGGTCTTTACCTTTTTTTCAGTCTGTGAGCCCAAATGGAGAGAAGGAGAACCACTTTACTAATATATGTAGTGCAAATAGCCCCNTACAATGCATGGTTTTGAACTTGTCATTTGCTTAATTATTCCAAGCTCAGAAAGCGGCAGAGTGACATAAGCCTAAAGACAAACTAGTAGTTATGAGGATGAATATGATTATGCATTTCATTATGTTGGGTTAAAACATACAGCTTAGAAAACTATATATTTTTTTTTTAGGGTTGAGTCTTGTTTCCTCATTTAACTCCTTATCATTTTGTGGCGGTAATGCACTTTAACTAGTTTGCCAACCACCATAAAAGCTTACAATAAGAAGAAGAGGAAAAAAAGAAAACAGCTGAGCACTGATTGATTGCAGCAGATCTGCAATCTGTAAAAGTGTCCATTTCATGAGTCTCTAATCAGTATCTAAAGGATTTTAACTTGTCTCTGTGTGTCAGTGTGTAAAATTCTGACCACGGAGCTGCAGGAGGCTCTGGAGAAAACGGGTCGCTCCAAAGAGGTGCTGGAGGTGGGAGAGGTGTTGGACACGGGCAAGAGGAGGAGGAAGATTAGATACAACACCTCGTAAGTCTGGGCTGTCTCTTATGTTTTTATCTTTTTCATGTTTAACCAATGTCAGGACGGAAAAGCAGGGGTCTTTACCTTTTTTCAGTCTTTGAGCCCAAATGGAGAGAAGGAGAACCACTTTACTAATATATGTAGTGCAAATAGCCCCTGTGTATTTGATGTTACTGTAAATTAGACTTAACTTTATAATATTCCTTGGGATTACTCCTTCAGGGAAATTCTGGTTCTGGTAGCTTACATAGAGTACAAAGAGTTAAAGCAAAATGCCGTCAAAGAAAACAAAATGACAGACAATATAAAAAGTGTGCATATAGTACAAAAAAGTATTAAAAAAGAAAAAAAAAAGTTGTAATGTCCTAGAGTACGTTTCCCTGAGATATAGAAAATATCTGCACAGTAGAGAGCTAAGGGAAGACTACACAGTAGTTGACATGGGTTATTGCACAGTGAGAGAGAAGAATATTGCACGAGTGACAATAGGTAATGTTTTACGTAAGGCGTCCTTGTCTCTACCACCGTCCCCAGAGGGTCCAGCTTCTTGCCAATCACAAAGCCGGCTCGCCTCACCAGTTTGTTCAGTCTGGATGTGTCCTTCATGGATGTGCTGCTCCCCCAGCACAGTGTAGAAGAGGACACTGGCAACCACAGGCTGGTACAACATCTCCAACAGCTTATTGCAGATGTTGAACGACCTCGGTCTCCTCAGGAAGTACATCCTGCCCCTAGTCTTCCTGTGCAGGTGGTTGGTGAGTGTTGACCAGTCCAGTTTATTATCTAGCCACGCCCCAAGGTATTTGTATAAATCCACTGCCTCCCCCTCAGCCCCCTCCAGTAGTACGGGCTTAGACTTTGGTCCATTCCTCCCAAGTCTATGACCAGCTCCTTTCTCTTGGAGATGTTTCGCTCCAGGTGGTTGGTGCGGCACCAGGTGGCAAAGTCCCCCACCAGACTCCTGTACCCCTCCTCTCTGTTGTCCCTGATACACTCCACAATGTCATCTTCGTACTTCTGTACGTGACACAGCTCAGAGTTGTAACAGAAGTCAGAGGTGTAAGAGGACAGGGCCCAGCACTTTGCTGTGGGGGGTCTCCAGTGCTGCTGATCAGTTTCAGAGATTGTGTCTTTCAGCCTGACATACTGTGGCCT